GATATACCTGTGGGGCTTTTTCTTTTTCTTTTGAGGGTATTAAAGCTTATAAATATATCAGGTACTTTCCTACAACTTCAAATTTTGGGGTTGTTGGTAAACTATCGAGATCTTTTTCATGGTATTAAAGCTGGTCATGAGATTTTGAATCTTACATGTGCCCTTCTTTATTTCGGTTGGTGTTTGATCAATACTTGTGCTATGCCCTTTTCATTAATTGTCTTGCACCATGTCAAGCCAACTCTATAAATACAAAGAAGAAAGCAAGTTATGAACCTTGAGCCTTTTGCTTTTCATGATTTATATTGAACAGGACCCCTGGAACAACTTTAGCATCTATGTATAGTGTTGCTGCCTGTTTTATTGGCCATACACCAATTAGCACCTACGTTGATTTATGTTGAGCCCCGTACGTAATGCATCATTATGCTGTCAGTATAGGATACCACAAGTCATCCCATCACTTCCTGTGTACCTTCAGTGGCCACCCTGAGGCATTCAACTTTGATCGTCTACTGTACTTTCCATGTGAACCTTAGTATGCATTGCCAAAATCTGAGAACTGTTGCTTCTTTTGTATACCAGACATCAAGTTCTTGTTATACTATGTTTCTCTTTCTTTCTTTCTTCTCATTTGCACAGGTCCAACAGAAGGTTTTATCACTTATTAAGTGGCATCTTGTTGTTGTTGTCAATCATAATTCCATTGTCAATCAGACAGAAGTCCAGTATAACATTGTATCTTTTCTAAGAAAAATTAAGTTTAAGCTTCCTGTTAAAACCTACTGTGCTTGTTCTGTGAAGCAACATGTTATCTTTTTTTCTTGATTATCTTGCTCTTGTTCTTTTGTCATGCTGTTTGAGATTGCCTTGGACTTGAGGTTGCTTACCTTCCATTATTCAGTTATGATCACTATCCGTATTTGGAAGATCCTGATATGGTTATTTGGTTAAGGTTTTATGACTAATAATATCATGCTTACCTCAAACATCCTGGTAATCTCATCAAGCCTAGGCTAGACAAGATCATAAGATCAGAAGTTGCATTTTTTGTATTTTGAATGGCAACATTAGATTTAATTTTGTTTTGCATTAATGTCTCTGCACAAATTATAGTCAATTTGGCAGTTTACTTGACCTGTTGGCTTAGAACAGTCAGTCTGTTCATGGTAAACCTTCAATCAGTTCCCTCTACCATGGTAAAACCTAGGCATTCCAGTCCATTTAAGTTCTACCAATCATGATTTGATTGTACATCGAGGTATGGAAGCACATGTTATGGTGTAATATGGTCTCTAATTGCAAGTAAAAATAAATTCTTGTTCCTCCAATCATAAAATGGAGATCATTTTCCAGCAAGATTCTACTAGGTTGATGTCGATGGTTACAGGGTGGAAATACTATATTCTTTTATTTCATTTTACGGGGGTATGTTTGCCCGTCTCACATGCTGTCATTTATTCTCGTACATTATATATCATATGCTAAAATGATGTTTGTGACATAATTAACTTTTTTTTTTTCTGGTTTTGTTATATTTTTGGTACTGCCCTATGTTGGCTTATGTTGGTAGAGGCAACATCTCTGTACTAATCAATTACCCTTTGCCTCTGTATGCATGCTCATATATATGTATATAAAGTGACACACACTACCTCTATTCACGTGCAGATGGCATTCTTGTATGCACATGTATTTACGTATGTATATCAATGCATGTAGAGAGAGATCAACTAGGGATATGATCATAAACCCATGAGGCATAAGAAAAATCTTCTTACATGCTTTCAATTTGAAGAACAATCGGAACTTAACATTAGATACTTGTTTGATATACTTGTCTGTTCCATATGTGCGTGTTGAGTAGGTACTCGAAATTGATGCTTGTTTCATGTTTGTGGATCCAGACAAAATAGATGAAACGGAAGAGATGCGTGAGATGATACATTTCCAATTTCAATTACTGTTTTTCATCTCCTCATCTTTCTACACTTTCCATATTTTTCTGGAACTTATAAAGAATTGAGAAGAAATCATAAGAAATTTGAAATAGATGATATTTTCCCAATTGCAATTTAGCGCCAGTCCTACTATTTAAATTGTGATCCCAAACCTTGTAGATGTTGTTATTAATGGTTCCTGATTGATTTCTTGCTTTTTTTTTTGTCAGAGTAATTCGATTATCGACATTAAATATATGTCTTGACAAGTATTGGTTGTTTTGAGGACCGTTGAACTTATGCTCTTGAGAAAATTACTGAGCAGATAAAACAGTAGGTTGCTTTGCTAAATATTTGAACATCCACCATATCTTTGTATACTGTTGAGTGTTGACATATGTTTATGTGATCACCAACTTTGCCTCCTGTTGACATATGTCTTTGTTGCCCGTGCCTTCTTTGCTCACACTGTTCCTTGTAATTTGCTAGGGGCCTGAGATTCGAACTGGTTTTCTGAAGGATGGGAAGCCTATCAAACTGACAGAGGGTCAAGAAATTACCATTAACACTGATTACAACTTAAAGGGTGACGAGAACATGATTACTATGAGCTACAAGAAACTTCCTGTCGATCTAAAACCTGGAAACACCATACTGTGTGCTGATGGTACCATAACCTTGACTGTCCTGTCATGTGACCCAGAGGGTGGAACAGTGAGATGCCGTTGTGAAAATACTGCAGTTTTAGGTGAGAGAAAGAATGTCAATCTCCCGGGTGTCATTGTGGATCTCCCCACGTTGACAGAAAAGGATATGGAAGACATTCTGGGGTGGGGTGTGCCAAATGAAATTGATATGATTGCCCTCTCTTTCGTCCGCAAAGGATCTGATCTTGTTCATGTACGGAAGGTTCTTGGCCCTCATGCAAAACGTATACAGCTGATGTCGAAGGTTGGTTATTCTTTTTGCTAGCATAACACATTTATATAGCTTTACATGTGTTTTTACACTCACAATTAATAGTCAATCATGCTTGCTATGATGGAACTGTCATAATCTGTTATAACGAGTATAATGGACATGTTTAAAACCATAACAAGTCATTATAATGGTTAGTTATAACAGATTCATGCGAGCCCTCCTTTCAATGTAATTTTGCTACTTTTTTTTTTAACCAAAAAAGAGAAAACTTATATTAAAACACTAGAACACTTATTATGACTTTGCTACTAATGGTTGCATTATTCAGGTAATCACAGGTTTATACCATGTTATAATGAGATATGATGATTGTTCTTTTTTATTTATTTCTTTTAAGAGGTGTGATGACTTTTACTAGCCAAACACCATGATTATAATTGAAGAATTTTAAAACAACGGTTGTCCATCTGATTAAAAGTTCTACATTGTATAGATGAACAACGATGAAATTCAACAATCTATGATATGATGGCTTTTATAAATATCAGGTCATGACAGTTGTTTGCCCTTTTATTATATAGCATGAGTCCCCGTCTTCAAGATAATGATATCTATCTTCTGAAAAAAAAAATATTTCACCTTGCTAGTGATGCAATTGACTTGTTTTGACTTTTATTTGTGAATATGTTTTTCGTTTCATATGTTGTTTGTTTGAACTTTTGATGTTGGTCATGAAGATCGAGAACCAGGAGGGTGTGATAAACTTTGACGAAGTCCTCAAGGAAACTGATTCTTTCATGGTTGCCCGAGGTGATCTTGGAATGGAGATCCCAGTTGAGAAGATTTTTCTTGCTCAAAAGATGATGATCTACAAGTGCAACCTTTTGGGCAAACCTGTTGTTACAGCCACCCAGATGCTCGAATCCATGATCAAGTCTCCTCGCCCAACACGTGCAGAGGCAACCGATGTGGCCAATGCTGTTCTCGATGGAACTGACTGTGTCATGCTCAGTGGCGAGAGTGCTGCCGGAGCATACCCTGAGCTTGCAGTGAAGATTATGGCTCGAATTTGTATCGAAGCAGAGTCATCCCTTGATTATGGTGCCATCTTCAAGGAGATGATAAGGACCACTCCTCTGCCAATGAGCCCATTGGAGAGCCTTGCATCCTCAGCTGTTCGCATAGCAAACAAGGCGAATGCAGTGCTCATAGTGGTCTTGACACGTGGTGGAACCACTGCTAAGCTGGTTGCCAAATACCGGCCAGCAGTCCCGATCCTCTCTGTGGTTGTTCCGGTGCTGACAACTGATTCATTTGATTGGACAATCAGTGATGAGAGACCTGCAAGGCACAATCTGGTATACCGAGGGTTGATCCCTGTGCTCGCTGAGGGCTCAGCCAAAGCAACGGATGCTGAGTCGACGGAGGTGATCCTGGAGGCCGCAATGAAGTCGGCAGTTCGAAAAGGGCTATGCAAGCCAGGAGATGCCGTCGTAGTACTGCACCGCATTGGCATCGGATCTGTCGTAAAGATCTGTATGGTGAAGTGAGTTAATAAGCATGTAAGTTTACTGCTTTATCTCGTGGGATCTACTTCTTGGTATAATTATCTACCGACTGTGTAGTAAGTGTTTGATCAGTATATGATTAAACTGTCTAGTCGTGACCATAATTTTGCTCTGATTTAGAATTTTTGTGCTTAGGTTAATCTTCCGAATCTGTTGGGTTGTTCCGTATTCTTAAACGGAGGAGGCTCTGAACTGATTAATCTAATCATCATTTATTATTTATTAGTTTTAATTTAAACATATAAAAATATTATTTTTGGTTTATCTTTTAAGTTAAGTTTCATCCAACTTTTTAGAGGTATTGCTCTCTAATGCGTTAGAGATGTGATGGGGCACGGCCGTACCAATTAACTCACTCGCTCAAGCATAATTATTAGATGCTATTGAAATCATGGCCGGCATTGGGGATTTAAAGAGCAAGTAATGTTAGAAATTACTGATATATAGCAAAATAAATGCCCATTATCAAACAAAAATCATCCATGATGATGTGATTTTGGTCACAACTTGGAAGAGGAAGCAAAGAGCAAATAAATAATGATAGAATTACTAATATATGGGAAAAGAATTGGCCATGTATAGAGCCATAACTTTTTGTTCATCAAATAAAATATGATGTTTGGGGAAAAGAGGAATAATTTTTTGAGAAAAGCAGTCTCCTATTTACCACCAACATTCCTCACATTACATAAATAGGTCAACAAGGTTTAAAACTGAAAAACAAACAGCCTAAAATTTTATGAGATGCAACAAAATTGCATGCATATTTTTTCTCTGGTCATTCGTCATCGGAACTTTCATAAGCTAAACCTAGCAAACTTTTAACTGCATCCTCTGCACCCTTTGATTTCATGGAAGGATCTTTACCCTCCTGCTCTTCCTGTTTCTTGTGCACCCCAACGGCAGCCACCAAGCATGAACTTTTCTGTGTTTCGCATGGCCTCGTGGGAGATAGATTCTTCCCAAGCTTTCCTTCACTGTCTGCAGGTGACGCAACTCTTCCAGGGAAAGATTGGGTGGAATGCTCAGGTTGCAAAGAACCAGGGCTCGAAACCTTCTGCCGCTTAGGTTTGATTCCAATGATGTTTTTCAAGAGATCTTGCTGCCTGCCCATCAAAGAAATAACAAATCATGTTTCTTGTATAGTAATAATAAGCCTGTAACTAAATCCAACATTACCTTATGCCACTCTTTGGCTTCGGTTCAACCCGAAGTGGCAGGGGCAAAGGTGCAGGTGAGGAGTCCGCCAAACTTGCAGCTTTGTAGTCAGAGTCATGGAAATTAAAATATACAAATGAGAAAAAAGACAAAAAATGATGCAGAAATAGCTATATGTCAACACATGCAACTCGTTCCCATGAGGATATCTTAAATGCAGCAAATGCCCGTTTTTCAGTGCGCCGTAGAAGACGCTCGGCATCTTCCTCGGCTTCCATTTGTTCTTTAAGATATAGCAAGTCATCGCTGTCCAAAGCTGAGAGCGAACCACCACAAAGTTAACCATATCATGAAAGTATATAACATTGCTGCGAAAAAGAAAATCAAGTACCGCCTCGCCCATGAAGGTAGCCTCCACGTTCACCGGCAACTTCCTGCATCTGCTAGCATCAACCGCCCAACAGGAGAAGCCAATATCCCTGCCGGGGCACGTTATCAGAACACTAACATAGAAAATGTTTCCAACACGCATGCCTGAATGAATGAATGAATAGTTAACCTCAATGAAGTCACATCAGTTCACAAGAAAATGGTCAGCTATGCCATATTATCAAGTTATAAGCAAAATACTTTCAATCAGCCATACAGACATGTACTCCTTCTAAACATCAGTAGATCAGCATCTGCAGGGCATCATTGAAGCTGAATTACGTTCAGCCAGTGCAAGTTTTTCTCAAATAGTCACTGCTCTTTTTGTGGTTGCAAGGGAATAATTTTCAGCATATAAAGTAATTCGATGTGTTGAAAAAAAAAAAGAGAATAAATGCTAAACTAGAAAATTATAGTGTTTCACACTAAAAAGGTGAAACACTCCAAAAAGTTTTGCATCATTAATCTAATATGCGTAATTGAGTGATATTATGTCGTACACATGAATTCGAACAAGAAATGAGTGAACTTTTCTAGCTCATATGCAATTCAAATTATAGTTGTCTTTATTACTAAGATTGATGAATCAGAAAACCTTGGATGTAAATCATATTCTATTCCCCATGAGATCACATCTAAAATTACAGCACCAGTATGGCACAGGCTAATCTCCATGCCCTGTTTATCTGATTCAATCAGTTGAACTTTGCAATGGCAACCAACGCCAGCCAGTTAAGAGTCCAAGAAATCTTGCATTCCATAATTCTAACGACCAACATATATTACTCGAAACTCAGAAAAAGAAAGATTAAAAGACTTCTTTTTTTTCTATGAAATAAAGCTACTTGGAACAAATCACAGGAGCAATGACCCATAGAAGGGCCGATCGGCTAACCTTAGCCACCATCCGTTGGAAGGTGACGTCCTCGTCGTCGATCTTGTCTTTCCCTTTCCCCCATTTCCGATCTGCGAATCATTACTAGGATTGCAGTTATCGCGTCTCACGACGAAAACAGCAGCAACAGCCGCAACGAGAAGGTCAAGGAGTTCGCCTGCAGCAATACCTTTGGGGTCGCTGAGGTTGGTGTACTCCCGCACTTCCTTTCCCGCCATGGCTTTCGATCACCGGCGAAGAGAAACCCTAGATTTCCAAAGCCTCCGCCTCCGGCGAAACAACAAAACGATCGAGGGAACGGAGAAAGCCCTAGAAGACGAACGGAAACTGGTGCGGGCTAAACGTGGTCTCTTCTCGGCCCAACTTGATCTCCTCCTTCCGTTTTGTCAACGACTCGGTCAAACCTGATCAGTATACTTTCATTATTCTCTCACTAAGCATCAGCCAGTCCCCATCATGCCTACCTGTCTGCTGATTGGAAATCAATCTCACTCCACTCATCCCACGTGATTCGTGCGTGCACCACCTTTGAACGGTACATCATTGTCACGCCGATGATACCAACGACCTGCGCGTGCGTTTCCGACCGTAGTGCGCGGACGAAGCGTTCTTCGTATCGAAACGCCGTGGCACTCGGAGAGGGTTGCGGTTTCCTCCTCTTCTTGACGAAGAAACGCGAGATCAAGAAGCTGAGGCAATCCCTAACGCAATAGAAGTAGAAGAAGAGAGAGAGAGAGAGAGGATTGCGGTTTCCTCCTCTTCTTGACGAAGAGCGGGAGATTAAGAAACGGAGGTAAACCCCAATGCAATAAAAGAAGAAGAAGAAGAAGAAAAAGAAGAAGAAGAAGAAGAAGAGAGAGAGAGAGAGAGAGAGAGAGAGATTCCGCTGGATTAGAGATCGGAGGCCACATGGCGAAGGGAAAGGACATCTTCTTCGAAAGCATCTTGCGGGAGAACACCCTCAAGTCCATCTTCAGCGGCCGGCGTCGGAAGCGCACCGGGGTAGCGGAGGACGTCGGCAACCCCATCCCCCAGCTCTCCTCCTTCGCTAACTGCGTCGTCGCCCGCTGTTCCAGGTAAGAATCGAGAGCTTGCTTTCTTTGACGGAAGAATCAAGAATACTCTGGTTTATCCTCGTTGCTTGCGCGACGGAGGATCTCCCTCCTCACCATCTCGATCGAACTCCCTTTCTTGCAAGGGAAGAATCGAGAACTCGCTCGTTTTCCTCGTCCCGCTGAACTTGCTTTCTTGAAGGGAACAATCAAGAAATTTCTTGTTTCGGCAAATTTTACCAAATCTTGTGATGATCTCCTCCCCTCCCTCTCTGTAGAACTTGATTTCTTTCAGGGTAAGGATCAAAAACTTGCTTGTTTTGACAAGTATTGTATGTATATGATTTCGATTCTTCTTGCATTGTCAGAATGGCGACGGGAAAAAATTGAGAAGAAGTTCAGAAACTGTTGTCTCGAACCATTACTTGTGTACGATGAATAGCATTATACAGTTCCCTCTTCTTATGATGCTCTCATCCATCTCCCTAAATCTGGCCATTATATTCCTCATAGCAGGCATGCATCATTGCGATAAATTAGTCAAATAATATGATCTTTGAACGCAAGATCTGAAGCAATCTTGTGTGCTCTGTCTCGTTGTAATTAACTTTCTTCCAACATGTCCTAGTGAAATCTTGAACTTCTTTGGCCTGTAAGTAGATGTGTCATTATCTATATCACATTTGTGGTTTGCTTTTTGTAAGGCAGACCGCTAAACTTGTCCATCATCATTTCCAGTATCATCTGAAATAATAGGTGCTATAAACATACATCCACTCAAAGACTTCCATCTCCACTATGCTATGAGAACTTATTCCCCTTCTACTGAATGAAGGTTGTCATTTCCAGAAGGTGAAGTACTCATGACATCCGTTCTTTGTTTCAGGACAATTAGGCTTCACAATTTTATGAATGTGATTATCCTATGAATGTAATTATCTTCAAGTTACATGCACCTGAGTACCTTTCACAGGAGCATAGATGTGATAGGACTGATTCCTTTGACCATAAAAAGAGGAAGTTCTCATTGAATCGCCATTGATTACATTTCTTTCAGATTGAGGGTTGTGTTGACTTGTATCTTTCAATTATGTGTGCCCTCCTTGGGATAGACACTGTTTGCCACACCACAGTTTGTCATCTCCCCCTAATTTTAGACTTCCCACGATAACCTATCATCCGGAGTCTACTTAGTGTTGAACTGTGCCCCAAAGTGGATATCTGTGGGAAACTTTCGGATGAAAAGGTGTGGCCCAGTGCATGTGGCCTCCTTTTAGTGTCTGGCAAATGTGGTGAGGATTTTCCTACATGCTTATCTAAGTTCTGATGCCTGAAAGAAGTTTTAGTCATATGAAGAATATTATTTGTTATGGCTCTAATCCACCTTAAATGGTGCATTTGAGTAGGAAATGTGGAAGAATACATGGTTAAATTCCAGTTGATTGGAAGTCTGTTTTTGGTGGATGTCTCTTGATCATTGTGAATGTCCCTGTGTTGGATCAGTTTCTACTTACCTTTTGTTGTAGACCCAGCGATCTTGACTAGAATCCTTCAAGTAAACCTGATCAATTTAAGATGATGCATGGGTTTCATGGATTGAGCTCTGAGTCAAGTATTCTTTATTCGTTAGGTTGGGATCAGGTCAAGCATATATTTCTCTAATAATATGGAGCAACATGGCTTGACCTGGCTCATGCTTTTTTTAGACAGGAAAGAATAGCTTACCTTACACTGCCATCCCTATTCAACCGTGATCAGCTCAGGTGACCCGAGCTGACCTATTAGCTATATTGGTTGAACAGGGGCCAACATTTCTTAATCTGTCGGAGGTTGGTTCAGCGTAGCCCTTAATTCCTGCACCATCCATTGCAACTATATCGGATCTGACTCATTGGCAGCATTAACTTATGGGTCATATGACTCACTGTGGGATGTCGGTCTTGTTGTATTAGTTATTGTGTAAATCAATATCGTTGATCTGTTGCTTGGATTTAAACAACAGCAAGCACCTAATGGTCCTTGCAACTGCAGGATTCTTCACATTTCAAGGGACAAATTGCAACAATCTTTTGAGACCGAATTTCCTGATCGTGTCAAACTTCCTACTACATATGCAAGAGACCTATTTGAATATTGCTGTTTCAGAACTTTTCATGCGGTGATCAAGAATCCAGATTATTTGGCCGATAAGGAGTTCCGCCAGTTAACTTTTGACATGATGCTGGCTTGGGAGTCCCCTGGAGCATGCAGCGAATCCATACCCAAAGTGAGACATATGAGATCTTTAAGTTTACATTTGTAAGAACTTGAGTTGTTGATGTATCATTTTCTTTTGTCTCTTAAGGTTATGTCAGTCGTATTGTGATGTTTCATTGTAATTTCCTGTTGTTATTTGTCCTAGTATTGCATTTGCTGGCAGCCACACGTTAGTGTGTGACTAGGGCAAATTGACAAATTAGTTGACTGGAAAATGCATGTGCCCCCCTTTGCTGCCTTGTGTTGATTATCACATGATGTGCTGGCATGAACCAGCAAGAAACTCACCAATTGACTTAAATTCTCGATTTATATTGTCTTTTAGAAAACCATACTATTTCAAAATGCTATTTAGCCACTCTAAGACAAACGTCCAAAGTTATGTGTATGGTTTTTAGTTAATATTTTCATATTTTGTACTCAATTGCTAATCTCATTCTTGTAACAGGAATCTAATACTTGTGACCATCTGGTAGTTGAAGAAGAGCATGGGGTATCATTTTTTTACATTAGTTCTTCATGTCTGGCTGCTCAGGTGTGTTACCATTGATTATGTTTTCTTATACTCCATAGTGCTTTAGTTTTTTTTCTTGTGTAAGTCAGGTAGATGAAAGGAAGACTGTTGGATTGAAAGCTTTTGCACGAATAGCTCCTGCCTGTCCTGCCATTGCTGACTCAATAACTGTGCACAACTTGTTTGACGCATTGACTTGCTCATCAGGGGGCCAAATGCATTTTTTCATATATGACAAATACCTCAAAAGTCTATACAAGTATGTTATTCATGACTATCAATTCTTTTTCATGGATGTACTACCTAAGAATAACTTAGCGCACTAGAAAATTTGTAATATGTAACCTACTTAGTCAAGGGATTGTAATTTAAAATTTGAAAATATAAAGGAGCTATTATTTTAGTATTTGAAAGCAAGATCAGGTAATTGAAGTTAGTTCCTTGTCGGCATGTGGATGCTTCTTGTCTTCTTTTAAAGATGTCATCTTGTAGGACACATAAGATTGAATAGCGGACTTGAGAAGAAATTTTCATGAGCATTATGGTAGCTACAGAAAAAAAAAGTACTGTAAAAAATTTATATAAGTTGTTATCTAATCTCAGATTCTCCAGCGTATGGGTTGCTTCTTTTATTATTGATCATAAATAAGTTAATTGTAAGTAGCATCAGATCATTTTTCATATTTTCTTTCATTTTTTGTAACCCTGAACTGCTGTGGTTGGATTCGACCATTAGGTGAAATTTAGATTTAACTTATATAGTGTAATTCTGTTATAGGGAAATTAAATCTTTAAAAAATATTATGGGCTCATTGATTGCTTCAAACCTTCACCTTTCTGATGGAGAAGTTATTTTAGAAGTTGATGGTGTAATGCCCACTCAACCTGTTCTACAACACATTGGAACATCTGCATGGCCAGGTTAAGCATGTTCTTTTGTAATATTTACATGCATATAAATTTTGTTTGAATAGGCCTATGAGTGATTTCTTTCCTTTTGGCAGGACGATTGACGTTGACAACCCATGCTCTCTACTTTGAATCATTAGGAGTGGGTTATGATAAAGCTGTCAGATATGATCTGGCAACAGACCTAAAGCAAGTGATAAAGGGTGATCTGACTGGACCTCTGGGTGCTCGCCTCTTTGATAAAGCTGTGATGTACAAGTCAATATCTCTGTAAGTGTTGTCATTGGCAATTTTATTGCATCTGTTCTTCCAACTGGAATCTATAAAATCTGATAATAACTTTACCTCATCACAGAGCAGAACCCATTTATTTTGCATTTCCTGAATTTAAAGGCCATTCACGGAGAGACTACTGGCTGGCAGTTGTTGGTGAAGTGTTGCAGGTGCACAAATTTATTAGGAAGTATGATCTTGATGAAATTCAGCAGATGGAAGCTCTTTCAAAGGCCATTTTAGGCATCTTCAGATATCGAGCTTTAAAAGAAGCATTCCATATCCATCCTCCTCGTTTTAGGTCTATACTTGCTTTTTACTTAGCTGAGAAACTCCCAAAAGGAGATAAGATCTTGGAGGCTTTATATGATTATTTAAAACTGCCAGCTGATGGAATCCAGAGCATTATTGTCAATTCATCATCTGATACGAATTTACATGTTTGTCCTTTACCATTTTCATTATACACAGTCACCAAAATGGGCTTCACACTGAAAATGGAAGTGGTAGATGGTATCGAGGAAAAATACATCCTTGTTGGTGATGTTTGTGTTGGTTCGACAAGTTCTCTGGAAACTGCTGTAAAGGAATCGTTCTGTTACTCTGAAATAGCTGAAGCGGCACGTGCAACGGTGGACCAGATGAAAGTCGACGGCATCGATACAAACCTAGCTGTAATGAAGGTATGCGATTCTAGTGATGTTTTTATTTTTATTTTTACTTATTTTCTTGCAATTCTCATCACACACTAATTTGAATCGATCCACCTCACATAACTGGTGCATCTTTTCTAGGTACCTATTAGAATTAGGTACTTTTATAACTTCCGCATGTCTTTTCTCTGTAGTTTGATCTATTATGATTCTCCAAAATCTATCTTAAGACAAGATATGAATAGTTGACTTAGTTGGCTTTTGTCATTTTTAATATACTGACCTAGTTATAAGTTATTAATTGAAAATCAATCTCTCATTGTCCCATCATTGATATGTGGTTTTTGATGCTTGATTGAATAAATTTGGATGTGCTTTCCAAACAAATAAAGATCACATCTGATTTCACCAGAACTATGGAGAATCTGTTGTGATGTACATTGGATCATGATCCACATGAAAAAATTTGCGTCCAAATGTATTTTGTTTGAAATATTAGAGACCCATATTATTATGTATGAAACTGATGTTTAACTATGAAAATTACATCTGGAAACTATATGCAATTTCAGCTTATTATGTTGTTCAGCATTCAAAATTATTATGCTCCTACATCAGTAATTATCTAAATTGCTATGACCTATATATATTTGGGTAAGTAGGTATCCAAAATGATACATCTAAAGTTTGCATTGAATAGTTTATTTTCTTCACCTTCAAACTTGTAATAATGAGCATGATTTAAGTTAGTGTTTTGCGGGCATCTCTGATGACTCTCTCTGTCTCTCTTGCAGGAGTTGCTGTTCCCAGTTCTCGAGTCTACCAAGTTGCTTCAGCTTTTAGTTAAATGGGAAAATCCTTTTAAATCAACTTCGTTCTTGGTTGTGAACCTTTACGTTGTTTACAGGTAACTTTCACCTTCTAGTGGTCATAGGAAACTACTTTTTAATATATTGACATTAATATTATGGATGCCAGGGGTTGGGTCAGATACGTTTTATCTTGCATATCCTTATCTCTGGCTCTTCTCATGACGTGGCACAAGTTCCGCAGAAAACGGAAACCTGTGCAGGTGTTTCACATCACGCCTCCCCCTTCCAAGAATGCTGTTGAGCAGCTCTTAGTTTTGCAGGATGCCATCGCCCGGTTGGAAACTATGGTTCAGGCAGGAAACATCGGACTTCTTAAGCTAAGAGCTCTCCTATTCGCGGCAATTCCAAAGGTGGTCGGCCTGTCTTTTGTTGAATCATCCACGGAAGATCCAATTAATTAAGCACTTGATTGTTGTTTCAGGCAACCGACGAGACGGCGCTCACCCTGATCGTGGCGGCGACATTGGTTGCAATTGTGCCTTTTGTGCATTTGATGGTGTTATTGGCGGTGGAGGCCTTCACCAGGGAGATGCCGCTGAGGAAAAAGAGTAGTGAGAAGCTGAGGAGGAGACTGAGGGAGTGGTGGGCTCGTATTCCGGCGGCCCCTGTTGAGCTTGTCAGGCACCAGATGGAAAAACCACACAATTTTTCTTCGCAGGAGAAAGCTTCATGATGATATATATATTTATTTCTACATGAGCTTGTGTTGGGTTCTAAATTATATATAAGTCTGATAAAAATAATGTGTATGGAGGACTCGAAAAGTTCAAATATGCGTTTGACCAAAATGTAAATGTGAACATCAAAAGTAATTATATGGAGGAAACATCCGAAATGTAAGAAGCACAAGACGAAACCTTGGCTGGCAGACGTAGTAGCAAAAGCTCCACCAAGCATCCTTGTTATTTTGGCAACTTGTATCATGCATGGTCTAACCACCTTTTCCGGTTACCACGTCAGACTTGGAATCTCTCCGAGTCAGTCAAAGGTCCTTTCCATTCTGTGCGGAGCCATTTCCTGAACTGCATTCACATGGTATGATGATAACAATGATTAAATCAAAATTAATCACCTTTGAATTTTAACTAAGCCAATATTATTTGATAATAAATACACACCAGAATGTGTTGCGTACACACCAGGTTTTTTTACCTTTTTTTTTTATATATAGAGGAGCATCACATCATCTGACCAATTGCATCTATACATTGTCCGGCCAGAACTCCCTGAAGAAGGCTCGTTCAAATTCCTTCTCTTTCATCCTCTCCTCTTCTTCCTGCATCTTCCTTATTCTTTTAGAGACTTGTTTGTTCTTTTTCTTAGATTGCATGTCCTGAACATTTGGATAAACGGTAGCACAATTTAGTACACAAGCCTATTTCTCTGATCCCCTATCATTAAACAACCAAAGGAATTCAATAGTTGCATGCCCAAAGAGAATAATAATAATATGTATACCAGAAAACACATTCAAGCATGGAAAAAAATTGGAAAATTAGAGGTCTAAATAAACTAAAGAAAACAATGTCATGAAGAAAACAAAACCAAAATGTTGTTGGTCATCTGAGTGCTCAGTTACTTACATGATTATTTTGCATCTTGGCATCAAGATCTTTCAGGACTTCAACCTTTTTCTTGGTTTTATCAGCACCTATACCACGCTTGTTCTTCTTAACAAATGTCGGGATAGGCTCCAACATGCCCTGTTCAATCCAATCATTGACACTAATAAAGGATTTTATAGAATGAAAAGATAAACAGTAACTGACTGACATGAGGAGAAGAATTACATAATAACAAAGCCTCAAAACTGCTTGCCATGTCGTGAGAAAAATAAAAAAATCAAAATCAAAAGATTTTAAATAATTAGACGAAATAGGAGGTAAAACTGTAACTAACATGAGAAAAAATTATATAAACAAGCCTCACGATTACTTGCCAAGACATGATAAAATGATTAACAAAGATACATTAACAAAATCTTTAAAAGAATCAGAGAGTTCTAAATAATAGTCTTCTATCTCTACTTCATCACAGTTGTCCAATATGATCAAAAGCTTGATCAAATTTCATGTGCTCGATGATCCAACCTTCCATATCCCTACTGCAGTTAGCATGGCTCATGATAAATTTTAAGAATGACAATAAACATCGCTCTGTTGCAAACATAAGTTTGGACCCGACACATAATTATCCATGCATAAAACAAGATACGACTTGACTACTATGATCAATCAATTTATCTTGTTACATGATAAAAATAAGATTATGAAAGAAGATGTTGAACAAAGACAATTAGAAAAAACTTATTTGCTTAAGGGATATGACCCTAAATAACACTTTCCTGTAAAAGGTTCGCACAGAAAATCTAGAGTTTGCCAATTGTTGTAATAATGACCTATGGCAGCACCCAAATAGACTTGTGATTTACATGACAGTGCAAAAGAGATACAACAATATTCCAGCTACCATACTGTAGTTGAGTAGAATTAATGAACTCAAATCTCCCTTAGTGGAAACCAGAAGAATGAACAGAATTTAAACTCCAATTACAGAAAACAATTAACTCTGATAAGGACTTTGTTTCATTATTTCGGAAATCCTTTTCAATCCTTACTGATCCTGCATAGAAGTAAGAAGTTCTAAGTGGACAAGGTGGACAGCTTAATTTATAAAGCTAAAATGGACAATTTCAGTTGATCATCAAGAAGAAACAAGAAATTGAGAGAGAGAGAGAGAGAGAGAGAAAGACGGACTGGATGTTCTCTGGACCACTATCCTCCTCTCTCTCCATTCTTACCCACTACAAATACACATAAACATTTATTCATATTTACTTTCTGTTAAACTCTACGAGATCATACTATTTCTTAGGATGCTACCGCTCTTTCATGCTTCTATGTAGCTTATTTACATACCACACACTGATATTTTCGATCAAAAGAACCAGGATTGAGATTCATATCAACACGAAAATTTGAATCCCGGGATGGCCAACTGCAGAAAAATCCTACTAATTGCCTAAGATTTCTGGTAGCCCAGAATTGTTATATCCTCCATGCTATTTGCATTTTTATTTCTTCAGTAGAATTATTTAAAGTAGAAACTTCAATGCCGATTTCTCTATGCAGCAGCCAGAAAGTTCCCCAACTTACTGTATTACATTTGGACTATAAAGCCTTATACATGATTAACACTAAAAATCTAGATCCTACAGCTTTAATTACTACAATACTTTGTCAAAGCGTTATAGGTGTTTATGATGTAGCACAATGCAATTTCAATGCAAAATATTATTGTGCTTCATGGTGCACCTTGGTGCAGTAGTGAGGTAGAAACCTGAGCTCATGGGTGCAAACTCTGGAATCAGACTCCATGGATACAGCAAAAAGACCAACTAGTTTGATCATCCTCAGCCCCTGCAACCGCAGGTGGCTCGTACACTGGGATGCCCTTTCAAGGAATATTGTGATTTCTTGAGAGATGCCTAGCATCTCATACTTCTTTCAGTTTTTCTGGAAAAATATGAAGAAAAGAACAATAAAATATGGTCATCTCCAGCCTCTGCAATCTTATGGAGACTAATGCCCTGGACTGCCCTCTTGATGCTTATCAGTTCATACTTGACCATCCCCGCCCCGTGGATGGCATGATTTCTTGAGAGATGTGGTTCATACTTCTTTTACTTTCTTGAGAAGAATATAAATAACAGTTAAACTTGTGCCCCTGCAACTACAGGTGGCTGGTACACTGGGCTGCCCCTTCAAGTATCTCGTGATCTCTCGAGAAATGCTTAATAGTTTATACTTCTTTCACCTTCTTGTAAAAAAATATAAAGAATAGTCAAGTTTCTTACATCCCAAGCCCCGCAGTTGCAGGTGGCTGCTACGCTGGTCAGCCTACACAGAATCTGCCTAGTAGCTTGTACTTCTTTCGCGTTCTTGGATAAAATAATAAAGAAAAGAACAAATATCCAACCCTAATTGTTCTAGCAGCAAAGAAATAAATCCGAAACTATGAGGTTCTGCTCGAGAAAACTACAAAATAGGAATCGAGAAACATTGAAAGAAGACAAAGGGAAACGACCACAATTGAACGGAGAGATGCTCATGCTCGGGAACAAGGAAAAGAACCCTAATCAATAGAAATTTTACCGACGAATTGCAAGAACACAAATACAGATAAAGATTTGTTAGTTACACAATACCGATCCATAGCAGAAGAGAAAAGCAAGTGCAAGAGCAAACCAAAAGGAAGATAAAGGACCGTCGAGGCGAGCTCTCACCTGCTCGGAGGCGCCGAGGCCGGTGCCCTCCTTCCATCCGCACTTCTTCAGCAACTGCAGGTAGGAGAAGAGATCTCATCTTAGAAAAAAAACGGAAACGCTTTCGAGAACGAATGGATGAAACCCTAAAAGAGAAACAGGAAGGAAGGAAGGAAGGAAGAAGAGCGAAGGGAGCGAAGGAGAGAGCGGACCTTGAACCCGACGTTCGAGGAATCGATGGCTGTGTGACCGGCAGAGCCCAATTCACCGTCCCCCATCTCTCTTCGTCTCTTCCCTCTACCGATTTCGCCGAGTTCTTGGAAAGCTTCGATGACCCTATTTATAGGAGACGACGACGGCCGACTTTTTGCCAGAAATATAGGCGCATATATATATATATATATATATATATA